GCACCTGGTGGAAAGGCAGGGCCAATCCAGGGAAGCTCAGGTGCATGCAGTGTACCTGAGTGACTGGAAGGGGTGGAGCCAGGATCCGACCCTTCCCAGACCTTATTTAAGGGCTGGCAGTGGAAGCAAGGGTATCTGTCTGGTAATCTCTGCATGCCTGAAGCTTTTTGGAGGTAAGCAAATTTTATTTCTCTGTTTTTGCATCTACAGCTACTGCATTTGGGCTTGTCCTCAGTTGCTCCAGCATGGGACTTTGCTACTCTACTGTTATTGCTGTACCTTCCCTCGCATTATAGTATTATAGGCATCAAGAAAATATACAGATAATGTATTTTATGACACACAAGTAGCTGATCAAGAAAAGCTAGCTAAAGAGAGAAAAACAAGAAAATGTTCATATTATTCCTTTTTCTTCCCGTTTTTCTTTACTTCTTAGTTGCCAGGCTTTCCTCAGGCAGCAAAGCTGCAAATGTTAAAGAGAAATCTCTTCTAGTAAGCTTTAGATATTTGCTCCTTTTCTTCCGAGAATTTAATTTCTAGGATTGATTTGCACCTTTTTCTGTAGGCTCTGAGATTGTTCACTTAATTATCACCTTGCTAAAATATTATTGTGATTGACTTATCTGAATTACATGAGAGGAAAGAAGAGTAATAAGAACAAATATGCTAAAACATTGAAGTTTAAGAAAGGAGTTCAGAACCCAGCACAAATAAAGATAAAAGATATGTCACATACAGTGAAGCAGAAATAAACCTAAAGCTGCTTTAAGGAGCAAATCCTAAGATATATAAGCATGCAGACTTGTGGGCAGTAGCTTCCATAGTGTTAGAGGTATTTTGCTTTCTTATTTCATCACTGTCTATTTGATACTCAGTCATCTATGTCATTTCCCATCTTTTTGGTTGGGTACAGATAGTGGTCACGGCTGCAATATGTTGATCACCGTTGGTTACTAACCAGCTGGTGATGCCATTTGCCAAAGACTCCATCATACTTTCTACATTGCTGATAGCTCTTTTCAGAGATAAGATTAATGGCTTCAAATGTCATTAGGTAGTTGCGCTTGCATCTTGTTTACATTCTGCTTTTACAGTTATTTTGAATAGACTAGGTAAATGGAGAACAGGAAAACATGGAAGCCTTTTCTTGATATGAAAATATCTCTTTAGAGTTCTCATATATGTCCTACTTACATTTGACTTAGCAAGAGATACACTTCCTGTATTTCACAAAAAGTCTGCATTATATAATATGGAAAAAAAACACCTGCATAGTTAAAAACATAACCCTTCAGAATCCTCATACAAAGTAAAAACATACACTGAAACAACTGAGTGATTGTCTGTACCACTGCCCTCTATTGAATTTTAAGTAGAATATTCTTCTTCCTACTGTGCATTCATTTTGAGTTGGATTAGTGCTAAAAGTACTAAAAAAAATTACTCAAAATGCTTCTATTTAAAGGTCTACCTTTCACAGAAGAGGAAAAATTCTATGCTTTTGAATCCAGCATATGTGAATTCTGTAATCATCACATTCACCTAGCCTGTCCATAAAGACAGTCTTAACAATTGCACTCCAGACCAATTGGCCAATGGTTATTTTCAGTGGCTCTTTTTGCAAGGTATTTTAGAAGCGTTGCAGTGACAACAAGGGCATGAAGCAGCAGCATTTTAATAACTGTCAATTTTTTCTCCATTTCTAAGCAGGTTTCTGCCTCACCTGCTGGAAAACAAAGCAGGTGAACCAGTGCTGTAATTTAAGAGGGGGAAAAAGGGGAAGGAAAAAAAAAAGCAAACTTATAGCATTCTGATCAGGAATACAAGATTTTTTATCGTGTGCAAAAATGTTTGGGAATTCCACAGGATAAAACCACTTCTTCACAGTTTTATAGAAATGAAGAATAAGTTTATATAGATTACAGAAAGTAGAGTGGACAAAGTAATCTGAGATAATCACACAATCTGCATTTGTGTTAGATAGAATTGTCCTATTTTGTACACTGAGAAAGTGTCTTCTAGTCTCATGCATAACATTTTTCACCTATCAAGAATGGATACTAATTTAAAGGGATTTTATTCTCCTGTGGGAAGTATCTGGAATGCGGATTTCAATTTTGTGAATGTAACCTGTGAAGAAATATGACACCAGTTAGTACTTGTATGGGAAATGTAAGTCATGGCCTGAACCAGGGATTGAGCACACTGAGAAGGGGCAAGGCCAGCCCTAACAGCACCAGTGGAAGCAATTCACCTGTGCAACCAGAAGCCAGGCTCCACCTTTCCCTAACCTCATTAAAGGGCTGGCTGCCACAAAGGAAGTCATTTCTACTCAGAGATCACCTTCTTTGGAGTGTTTGGTCAGTCATGATCTTTGGCAGGTGGTAAGCAGCCATTTTTATTTAACAGATTGTGACCTTTATCTTTCTTGGGTAATTAAAGACTGCCTTAAAGCAGCTCTGTTATCGCCTTTCTCCATGGTACTGCACTTAGAAAATGTAATTTTTGAGACCCTTGAATTAGAGTAATACATCAACTTGAAGAAAAAAATGGCTTTCACCACTGTGCCACATAGTTTGAACAAGAGCACAAGACACAAATGTTTCATTCTAATGGAAAAATCTATTGTTTTGTGTAGTCTATAGCCTGGCTTATATGCTTTGACAGTCCAACTATTTATGTACCCAACAGCTCATGGCTTATGCGTTTAATAAACTTTAACAAGAGGAAAGTGAGGTCTAGTTTCCCAAGGGACAAGTAGACATATAGCTGCCTCTGAACTCAGAGGGAACCTAGAGACCACCCAGAGTCTGACCAGAGAGACCTTAAAGTGTGGGGAAAAAAATGAACTTATGCAATAAGTACTTGGTAAAAACCTTATTCCCTTGCATTCCCTTCCAAAGCACTTCTGTTTGGTTCCTGTGTAATTTGAAGGTTCCCTTCCAAACTAGAAAAGTTATCCAGAACTATAACTCCTTTGGGTCTGCACCTGCAAACACAGACTTGCATACTAGTCTTTGAATGGCTTGCTGCTTGCTTGTGCATACAAAAGATTTGTATTCCTATCAGAAAAGAAAACTATACATCATAAAGTACCCAAAAAGCAACCTTAGCTATCATCAGCAAAAACATCTGCTGTCAGTATTAATCTCAGCAAATGTTCTCTGAACACTTTAAGAAAAGGATAGAGAAGGATTACAGGCCAAATTACAGGATGACAAAACAGGATCAGTACCAGAACATGCTTCAGAGCTAAGAGCATAAAAACCTTTTGGGGCATTTCTTATGTAGTTCCCATTGAAAACAATGGCATTTTCTACTAGAATTCCCCTGAAAGGGGGAAATGTATTAGCCACAGACCAGTAAGAAATTACGCTCTGATGATCCTGGTGGGAGCAGGGAAGATACTTCTCCATTTAAAAAAAAAAAAAAAAAAAAAAAAAAAACCAGCTGGCTGCAAATGGCAAGTAATTTCACTCTCTTCAAAGGTTATTCTTTGGGCCCTGCAGGATGCCAGTGAAGTTGCAGGACTCCCATTGAAAATGTCATTTCTTCTCGTCCAATTTGAAGGGTTCTGAGAGAACTGTCAGGGCTCCCTTTCTTCACAGTCACAGAGATTCCATTTTTACAGGTGGGAAAAAGGAGACAGATAACTACAGAGGGAGTAAATAGCAGAATACAGTAAGCTGCTGAGTGTTGGAAGGGAGCTGGGACAGATGTAAACTTGGTAGTTCATGGAGTGGCTTCCTTGTCAATTTGAGATAGCGTAAAATAAAAGGGAGGTGAATTAGAAAGGTGACGAAAGATTTGACAGAGCAGTTAATCTTCATCTTTTTTGTTTATGATATGGGTGGGGGAAAATTGTAGAGAAAAGACACTTATATTAAAAAAAAAAAAACCTCAGAAAAAAGAAAACATTGTTAAGAATGCTGAGCAGCAGAAGGTTTAAGAATATGGGTGACCTAGTGGATTGAAGCCTAGAGGAATATAAAATGATAATGTGATACATGAACTGATGGGAAGTATTAGTCATTTACAGTTTCCAGGGAAAATACAAGAGCAATGCTAAATAACCTCTGCCACCAGATAGAGTAACAGATATGATAAAGTGCTCAGCATTCCTGGGTAATGCAATGGCTGAGATTTGTGAGCTGGTAGCATCTTCTGCTCTTGTACTTATAAAGCTCACACCCACAAGGGTGTATGTCTGCTCTTGGGCCGCTGGCATGCTTTATGGACAGACACAGTGGTGCTCCATGTAGAGCTAATTATCTTTTTGCCTCTGGAACCTGAGATAATAAAGTGGGAGTTGCATCAAGATTTCTGCCCTGCACAGTATTTTAAGTATTTTTTAAGTCACAGTCTTGGTGACTCACTCCACTCCACTGTCCACTCATGGGCAGAACCTTTTGGGTATTGCAGGTAGATACAGTTTTCTTGTTCGTTGCTGCCTATTTCAGCTTCATACTGGCAGAACACGCTGGAGTTGCTCAACCCCACTGCCAGAATTTTGAAGATAGCCAGCAGGATAATCTAACATATTCCCTATGTTCTAAAAGGCCAATGAAATTGTGGTCTTTCCAGGTTTACCACCCAGCCCTATCCTCCAACATTTTCTCAGATTTTTTTTGACCATCTCATAAACTCTTTCTCATAAGGTTACCCCAGTGTAGTTCAGCAGGAACCATCCAGTAAATCTTCCTGCTGTCTTCCAATTTTCATGAGGTAGAATAGAATCTTTCTTCTCTCCCAAGGAAGAAAAGTCATCATACAAATTTCACTATACTGAGGGATACCATATGAGTTTCCGATCCTAAATTACACATCTAAAGCTGGTTTTTGTGGAAAAACAAACAACCAAAAAATTGAAGAGGACACTGAACATAACAGTCATTGTTTAGATCTCAGTTAATCTGATGGCAGTAATTATTTCACTTGGAAATCGCATATACACAAACAAATGCAAAAATGTATACTTCCCTGAGGAGCAGACACAGTACCTGCTCTAGGTCTTCTGCTGTTCTTTTATTTTCCCCTGTGGCATCTTGATATGGCAAAATGAAGAGTTCAGCAGATGTGGGCAGGCCAGGGAGCACTGCGACCAGAATATGCTTGCTTGAAATACCTGTTGCCTGATACATAGACAATTAGTGGACAGCAGGGATGGCATTGAATGCTGACAATTTCTTTGTGAAAGCGCTGCAGTTCTTACAGAAGTGATGTTAGTTGCCTCTTGTACTGCGAAGAGAATCTTGTAAAAATCCAGTGCAAGTAAAAAAACTTGGGATTAATAATTTTACTTCATTCTGCTGTAAAATATACAGTCCTGGAGCAACAGTGATCATCAGACATGCTAAAAGGAATTCCTAAATCTGACTTATGACTTATGTTATCTGAACATAGCAGTTTTAAACTTGTCTGTGTACTCTAAGCTGATCCCTGAGGTTTTCTGTTTTGTCAGTAGTAAGAAGTAGCCTGTTAAAAGGTAAGGTATGTGGGCTGAATTGCACTCTAAAGATCTGATTAATCAAAACAGAGCCTAAAATCCTCTTGGAGACTCAGGTGGAAAAATAAGAACATGAATCAGATTTGAATCCCCAAAAGTCAAATTCTTTATAGTTCACACCCTGGGTCAGTTCTACAAGGTAATGAGGAATTTATTTATTTAGATGTTATATGTTGTATTAATGTGCAACTATTTAACATCTTGTTGGCTGAACATCTTAAACCATTAGTTTAGACCCAAACATTCCTTCAATGCAAAATTAGTCAAAATTCAGAAAGCAAATACCCCACAGTCATCACTGCTAGGATCATCTCTATGTATGGGTTTCAGGTGCTGTTATGAAGACATTGCAGAGTGCATTGCAGAGTTCTTCTCCAGAAAACAAGTTTGTTGGCTTTCAGGAAGTTCTACGGGCCAAAAGGAGGAGAAACACAGTCTGCTGAATCTTCCTCCACTGCCTCTTTGTTGTGGATTGTCCAGCCTGTTGTTTAAATCTCTGATTTTAAAATGCTAATTATTGTTACATTCATTTTTGAGCTGGAGGGGTGGGGAAGTACCCTCACATAAGGGCAGACCATGGTAGCTGGGTACAACAGGACGTCTGCAGAACATGAAATGCTCTGATGTTAATTAGACCTAAGACTTGTGAAGCGGTTCAGGAGCCAAGGCTTAATGCAGAGGATGGGATAACATCTGAACTTTGACTGAAGCTCTCCATCACCTCCACATGTGACTGCTGACAGCAGAGGGAATACTGTGTAGAGCTATGAAAAAGGAAACTTTCCACTGCATACAAAAAAAAAAAAAAAAAAAAAAAGACAACCCACGAGCTTTCATTACTCCTGTTTTTTAGTGGGGGTTTAGAAGAATTATTATAACAGCATAAAAGTTTCATACATTCTTACCAAGCATCTGTGAAGCTAGGGCTTGTATTATTTGTGCCTGCCTAACAGGTTGTTTTAAGATGTCAAGAAAAAGACACAGCTTTACCAGTTAATGGAAAGTCTTCATTTTCTGAGACTGAGAATGATGATGATGATTATTATTTTTAGCCAGAAGCTTTTGTCTGATGTACTCAGTTCATTCTTGTATTCATCAAAAGTAGAAGACAGAACTCAAAAAATCAACGATGTGAGGAATAATTATGATTGTAATACAAAATAGGATATTTTGTGATAATGTGAAGTTATCCTTACACACAGAGAAGATCAGATTTGAGTAGAGAACTATAATTTCTTATGCAGAATTTTTATCCAAGTCCGCAGGACTCCTTAATAAGAATGTAATACTTAAATAAAAGTTCATAAAAATTCTATAGCACAGCTATAATTTCCTGTTGAATTATTTAGTTATTCAACTTATTTTTATACAGTGTACTTAATTGCGATAGAATCTATTGGTTTTAACTTTAATTTCTATAGGAACTTCTAACAAAGGCTTATTTAAGGTGAATCATTTAGCTATATAAAAGGGGATAATTAGCTATCAGTTTTTTCTTATGCAAACAACAAAAAGACTGTGTTTTCATTGCTTTGCTTTGGGAATATATCCTTGGTACTGTGATTTTTATAATCCTTTTTTTCATGGCTTGATTTTCTTTTGAGTTGTTTATCTTTTGAAAATTCATCCTAAAGATAAATGGAACCTTGAGTACTTGATACAGACATAAATAAGCCAAAAGGACAAGCTTTAGAAAACTGGGGTGTTTTTTTGTGTTTTATTTATTTATTTATTTATTTATTTTGCTTTCCTCCTCTCCTCCTGTCTTTTCAGGGAATTGGAGGAAAAAAAAAAAAAAATCCTTTCAGTAAGTATTCAGACAAATTTTCTGCTTTTTTAAAAAAATATTTCTCAAATTTTGAATGGAAACAAAGGTTGTGGATGTTATTAGCAAGCTTTTTATTCATGATACCATCTATGCAAAAAGGCTGGAAAGACATTAATCAGGTGGGCACAAATGCATTTTGAACAATTCCTATTTTTCTGCTGAGCTGAGAAACTGCCACTGATGCCTATCTCTTCTAACATACATTTCTCTGCCCCTTGGTTTGAATCCCAAGTCTTCAGACAAACAATGTTTTTATGACATTCTGTTTCACGGTGAGAGAAGGAACTTCAGAGCTTCTCTGTAGTGTTGGTGGGAGAAACAGCACCCAATCTTGACCCATGAAACTCATGCTATATGAAAAATCTGAAGTACATACTTGGGTGCTCTTCTTAGTAGTGAAAATTATTTTCTCTTTGGTCTTCTAAGTTTCTTACAGCATATTTGTAATTCCATTAGAAGAGCATTGCTTTCCACCGCTGTATAAGCGCAGCAGTAAAAGAAGGATTGCAGTGCAACAGAAAAGACATTTGTAAAGCTAAACGCACACACAAGTAATTTGTTTTTCCAGATGCCCTTTTCTCTGAAATATTCCATTAAAAAGAATAAAGTGAAGTCTGACTCCGAGCACTAGATTGTCATAGGATAGGATCATTTCACCTGTATAAAATTAAGGATTCTGGACTCAAACACTCATCTATCCCCCTTTTATAGTTGCAAGGGACCGAGAGACACCTCGAGAGAACAATTTATTTGGTCCTAATGTAGGCAGAAAGCAAAAAGTGAGCCACCATAAGACAGTTTATAAACATTGCTTACCTCCACCAGAGCTCTCTTGACTACGCGGCTGATGTCCCTTCTCCACTCTGGGATATCTGGATTGTAGTCATCCAAGTTTGGGGAAAAGGATAACCTCAAGGACCGAAATTGCTCTGCAGATACAATGATGCAGTGGTAAGACATCTGAAAATGCCTTGTGCTGAATGAGCAGAACTTTGTGAAACCTGCTGCAGCTTGTGTTTTGCTTTCTTAATCAATCTGCTAGTGATGCATATGGTGTCAGAGAATCCAGCAGTAAATTGGAGTGATTCACTGCTCAGGTGTCACAAAACTGAAAAAGGTGATAGGTCATTACTTTTAATAGGTGGATAGCATTGGAAGGGGAGCTGAGCGGAGAATATAAGTGCTACCTTCTTCTTGATTTCTGAAGAAGACAAACTCTGCAAAGGAAGCTGTGATTATATTCTCATGGACATGTTGCAAACACCTGAAATCTTAACTGGACAGCCTTGGAAAAAATGCTTCTTAATCTTTGCTTTTGCTAATAGGGACACTCACGCTGATTACTTTCACTACATGCTTAGGGAATTTCCATTGGTTCCTGGACTACATCCACACTATATGGCATTTGTTTGTCATAACTGTTTCTGAGGCCTGAGTACAATATCAGAGCAGTGCAGATTTCTGCACCTGACTGCATCACGCTGCATTGACTTTGAATTTGAGCCAGGCAGCTTCTGTGTGAGTAAAGAGGCCTCTACTGGACGAAAAGAGGAAACCAGCTTACAAGCAGCCTAAAATTTTTATGATTGTGTTTGACTAATATATAGTGATTGATAGATCTGATACAGAGGGTTCTGGGAAGGCAGTCAACACTCTGCAATCATCTCAGTCTGGACTAACATCACTCAGAGGCATTATGCTGAATTGATATCACTGGAAATGAGCTTACAACCTGGAATTAAGACCTTATATTGCAGCCTGCATCTTTAGCTCTTGATTATGAAGAATCCTATGTAAAACAAAGGGAGAAAGGCTCACCATACACAGCGATGGTCTTTGTGTCCTGAAGAATGGTGTTTCCTGCTGAGACCTGAACAGTGATGGTATTCATCCCTTCTACAGAAAATGTAAATGTGATGCTCCCTTCCAAAGTGATCAGTGGCTGCAAATACATCAGAAGAAGAGAAAAGATGTTAATTTGGCTGTAGAGGAAAAGCAAAGGTGAGTTTGGCTCTTTGGCCTATTGGGATGGTTTGGGGAATTGGTTCCAGCTTGCAAACGTAGGAAGGACCGTGTGACCTGGAAGACAATTTTCTGGAGACTGCTCAGGATGCCTAAAAGTTTTTTAAAGAATAGTTAATAAGGTCTGATATTCCTCAGTATCCAGGTGGCTTTCTGCTGAGCATGCTGTATGTTTGGAATCCCATGTTAAACTGTCTTTGCTGTACTCTCCAGAGAGGTGCAGATTCTAACTAATAGGAGGGCCCACCAGGTTCACTGCTGTCACACTACTTTCCCAGATCTAGTTGTGGTTTGTTGAAGGTATTTAAGGAGGTTGTGGCAGAACGAGGAAGCAAATCAACATTTCTCAGTTGCTCTCCTGCATAGGCACGGAGATGCTGCTTTTGGAAAAGGATGGGTTTTAGAGAGAACACAGATCCCCTTGGCTTCATCTGCTGTGCAAGCTAGTTAATCAGCGAGCTGTGCTCCCTTTCAACAGTCTCTGCCATAACTTCTGTTTTCGCTTATTAATGAACTCTGGATGAGGTCTTCAAAGCACATAGTATTAAGTCAAACTCTGTTCCCATTGTAGTCTGTAGTAAAATTCTCACTTCAATGAGAACAGAGTTAGACCAACTCTGATCACTTATGAGCTTAGAAGATCAGAGGGAAGGTTAAAAGGTGAGAATCAGAGCCTGTAAGTACCTCAAGGGAGAGACGATTTCTGATACAACAGAGTCCTTTAATCTACACACAAAGACATAACAAGATCCAGCAGCTTGAAACCAGAGCTAGATAAATTCAGACTACAAACACAGGGCATATGTTTAACACTCAAGATAATTAGCTGTGGGGAGAAAGCTGGGAGAGAGGGTAAGAAAGAAGCAGTGAATTTTCCATCATCTGAGGGACAAAGCAACAGGAAATTCAAATTCTACTTTAATCGCAAAGAGGTAAATAAAGCAGGAAATGTTGATGCAATCCTCTGACCTGCATTGTACAGAAGAAGAACATGTGATTGAAGGCCCATGTCAGCCCTACAAAAGCCATGAGAATCTCTCCCCTTAGAGATTAATAAGGGTGCCTGGGTACTGCTGCCACAAAGGCACATACAATAACAGTTGCAATGCCAGTGCAGATTTACTAACTCTGCAAGCACAGAGGCAGCAGAATGTGTTGTATGCTATTTTCAGCTTTTGTTATTGCTTTTATAGTGAGTGAGGGAAAAAGCATACTAGAAGCACTTTGGGACCTTGGTTCTATATATCTACCTTGGATGAAGATGCCAGTACAAAGCTGCTGACAATTTGCATGAAATGGCAATAAACCTGCAGCTAAGTCACAGCAGTAATCACAAAATGGTTCCTATATTTCAGTGTCGGTACATCAAAGATCTAAGAATTAGCATCTCTTCCTCTGACTTGCAGTTTTCTTGTGTGGAGGACTATTTAGAGGCATTTTCAGACCTTTCTCTTCCTCCTTTCCCAGTCAGAATTCCTCCTTGATTGTTTTGATATAAATCCATAGGGAATACAAACCTCTGTGTTGTTCCCAAACCACCAGACATAAGTAAGTGTTCCCACTTGACTTGGCCACAGTACTGCCGTGGCATTGACCTCCTTGTTCTTCGTAGTGACAAATGGAAGAGATAAATGAACATGTTCCAAGGGACCTGCAGAGAGAGATACAAGGTGTGAGTCATCCCTCCCTGTGAAATACCAACTTGGGATAGAGGGGACAGATATGTGAACAGGGTCTTCATTAAGAAGACATAAAAATGTGCAGGACAAATGGCTTCAGTTGACATGGAACATCTCTGTTGATGCAAATTATTATGATTTGGTGAACTTCAGTAATACTGTATCTATTCACACTGGATGAAATTCTCTCTGAACACAGTTTTTCACTGACTGCTTTCATTTTATGTTACCCTATACTCCCTCTTTTCCACAATAAACTATTTTATTTTTTAATATAAACAGAACATAATTCATTTGACAAGTGACATTATGCCCAGGGTTACATATTTCTCATCTTTTGGAGACAGATGGGCCTTTGTTATTGCAGCTTGTCCTCTAGATTATTTTTTAAAACGTGTTCTGACTGTTCACTTAGAGAACAAAGCAATTGTTCTAAAACTGACAGAGGAAAAAAAAAAAAAAAAAAGACTTCCCAGGTGATATGGGGACATGAATTTCTAAAACAAGTAAAATTCATTTCCTACATCTGTGAGCTTCTAAGTGATGAGAAGTGGAGACCACAGCTTGAGAGGGTCGACTGCATTGTCCATGTGAAATTGAGATATTTTGCTAAAGGATCTTTCATATTTTAGGAGAGGATTTTTCTGAAAACATCACATGCGTAGCATCACTTAGAACCTGGCTTTCCAAGAGAAACACTGAACATTTTAGAGCAAGCATCCCCTGACGCTGTATCACACACATGCAGAGAGGCATGAAAAAATTCATCTAAACCAGACTGTATAAGCAATGCCATTATAAACAAGAACCACTCCTTCTGATTCATTACTAAAATGCAGATTTCTTTGTGGTATAGACTCAGCCACTGATTAACCTAACGCAGCCCCCTTAAGAGTCACTCATGATGGAACTAACCAAAGACTGCTATAGACACAGATGTGTGGCTCATATTTCCTTCAATAATCAGCAGTCCCTTTTATAAATTCTTAAGAAGCTGGAATTTCATCCTTCTGATTTTAATGGAATTTCCCTGCTCAGGTATATTTCTGTGACCTACAAGACACTAAGAACTGAGAAATGGCAGCTTCCCAAGCTGAATATTTTGCAGCTCTGATATCCTTTGGGATGTTTGCCAAATGCCAGGTGCCACCAGCACAGACCTCTAAAGGAATACGTTCCCTCACACCTGATATGGTGACAGTTGTGACAGTGACAATGACACCTGTGTAAAATCTAGTTCACTCCAAAATAACCACACAGTTGCTCTGAATACAGCTAAAAAGACCACACTGCAGAGGACACCCAACCCCTCCTCAGACCTGTGCCATGTGCTGGCTTAGAAAGAATGTGAAAGAATGGCTCTGACAAGCCAATTCTGCCTCAGCATTTCTCTTCAAATAGATGATGGGTCGAAGTGGCTGAAATGCTGAACTATCATCTGGCCAGCAGATGGGGATAGCTTATTCTGGATGGGCTCTTAACTGCTAGGAGTCTGCACCCTCCCAGGTAAGTTTGTAGAGACTTATTTCAATGTGTATACCTTATACAAAGTACAGTCCATGCACAACAAAATACTCCTGCCTCACAATACAATAATAATAACAATACAATACAATAATGCCTTACAAGACTTCCAAGAGGCCAGATTCATGCTTATGCGCCCCAAGCTAAATAAAGTAGCCTTGCTCACTAGAGAGCTGAGAGGCAAAGCTAGCATTTCCATAGATTCAGAAGCTTTTGTAGATCTGGGCATTAGGCTTTATGAGGGCTTTATGAATTTATTGTACAACTCTGCCTTCAGCAAATCTATTGCTAGTCTGAATGGCACCATACTCTGTTTGTAATCTGCTCTGAGGTCCCTAATTCTTCGCAGACAGAGGAAGGTGAAACACATCTTTCAGGCTGTGGCTTCTCTGGAGGTCAGACACCTATAATCTAGGCCTGACTTCAATGATAATGCAGTGACATATTGAAGTCACATATTGACTTTATCTAAACACAACTCAGAAATATATATTTATCAGTTGCTTAGTAGCATGAAGACATCTGGATATTGCTTCTTAATTGTACTGTTAAAACAAATTCTTAAAAAACAAAACAATTCTTAAGCCTTCTATGGCTCAAGAAAATGAATTAAATTAGCTACAACCCAGAAAGCCAATGCGAGTAAGGGTGAGGGCCTCCCTGCCTTCTTCTTCTATTTTGTGGTTGCACAACAGAGTGGTTATTGTTATAGGGGCTCATTACTGTGCAGATAGGCTGAGCATATGCAAAGGTCCCCATGGACCTTTGTTGTCAAACAGCAAACAATTACCAACCCTGTTCATAGAAGGCTGTCAGAACCTCTTGTGAAATATCAACTGCCAAAACACTGCTCCATTTGTTTCCAGTGACCTTTTACACAGACTGGGAAAAAAAAAAAAAGATGACCACAGCTCGTGTTGAGGTGACTTTCATAACCAGCAGCAGAAGGAGGAGGATTGCTGCATCCTGCATCTCCCCTGCTAAGCACCCAAGCACAAGCAAGAAGGCAAACTACAGGGTGACTCCAGAACCTCTCCTCTGCAGACAAGGGCACTCTCCACTGGACCAAACCCGTGCTTCCTCAGTTGCTGAAGAAATTATGTGAAAGCATATAAAAATCTGCTCTAAGCAGAGTTCCTTTTCTATCATACAATGATTCTCAAAACCGTACAACAAAACCAACCAACCAAAAAAACAGTAGCTATCTAAAAGCTGAGACCTTACCTTGCCTCGCCAGTGCTTCAAAGCAGAAGTAATTCAAGATAAATATATAAATAAAGAACCAAAGCTTGATAACAATCTGATTTATCAGCAGAGTTCTTTTTTGCAAGATAGATAGGAGTTTTTCAAACACACGACACTGCTGAAGGACTCTGTGACACAAAAGTTTATGGACTCTGTGACACAAAAGTTTATGGCAGACCAGTATCAGGTAAGGGAATCATAAATGGTACATGATGCTCATGTCTTTTTCAAGGAAGAAGTTCAGGGAAGGATTTGTTACTGTTCCCATCATGCTCCCACATACACCTGCTGTCTCCTACACCTACAAATCCCACTGGTCCCATCTGCTGATACGACTGTGCACCATTAGAGAACTGCCCTCTTCCCCTAAAGGTGCACCTGATTTCATGCTAAATGAAGTAACTCCAAAACCAGAGTCACAGAATGTGGCATGTGCTGAATTATCTAGGCAATATGTGGAATTACTTTAGTAGAGGCTAAGTAGTATTTCTATACGCATAACATAAATAAAAATAACTAAGTTTAAAATATTTTTTTTCTTCAGTAAATCTGTCACATAGAGATACAGCCTGGAATACAAGTAATTAACAAAACCCAACAAAAATAACAAAATAAACAAACAAACAAACAAAAAAATACTTACACAATGTAAAACAAATTATGGCCCCAAACAAAATCCAGAGATACTACAAAATTTCACTAACGGTCAAACATTTTGGGTTCTCAGGCATGTGCAAGAATAAAGATGAAAGAACACATTGCTGGTTTTATACAAAGACTGAGATACATTTCAGGTGTAAATCAGAGAGAGCCAACATATAAAAAGTTTGAAAAGAATAGCAAAAGAGCAATGTGAAGATAACATTTTTTCTTGTTATACTCTTTTAACACCAGGATTTTGGTTCCTATGACAACAGAAAGACTGAAACGCACAAGTTTCCATCCCAAATGTGGCTGCATTTCATTAAAGGACAAAACACTGTATGAAGGGAAAGTCAAGGTTTTTGAAAGTGAATAAAAGATGTCTTTATTTTTCTGACACTGTAAACATGCCAACCACAGTGCATTTCAGAAAGGGAAAGATAATACTCCGAGGTGTCTCAGATTGGACCACCCAAAGTTAGAGGTTAAACACGGTTCAAAAAACAAACTGCTATTCCTTGTGTCTCCTCTCATTCTGAAGTCCTCCACTGGAGGTCAAACTCTCACCATCTCCCATCACTTCATCCTCCCACATACAAAGTCCAAGCATCATCTCTCAGAGCAAGTGATAATTTTTTCTAGGAATGACAGAAGTTAACAATGAGTATGAACATACATACATGTTACGTGCAGGTAGAGGACAGCATTGTCAGATCCCAGGCTATTTTCCACCAGCACGGTCACTCGGAATATGCCCACGTTCTGGTAGGTGTGTTTGATCCCATCTTCTGTTGAGCTGAGATTGGCATATGAAACAGCGGTGCCGTCACCAAAATCCACCTGAATGAGGGATCTTTGGAGATCTCCCTGTGGTGACAGAAAAAAGAAAGGGTCAGAATATACTTTTTTTTTCTTTTCTTTTTTCTGAAAGGGACTTGTTGGAACATCAGTCCACAGCCTCTGATGTCAGCAGGAGTACTGGTGGGAGCTACAGAAAATGACCGTGAGAGACTGAATCAGTGGAGTGATGTAGACAGATCATCCAGAGCATATTCACATTCCTGATGTTAGCAGAGGTCACTTCATCAACTTACACAGCAGACAGTGGAGAGAAAGTGATCCTTCTTCAGGTTAACTCAGCTGCATTATTAAAGGTGAAGTATTACAGAAGGTGTATGCTGTAGCCTTGCATTCCTGCTAGTCAGGAAAGATGGGCATTATTTGTAAACATTCCAGCTCCTTTCTCCAGGTTTCCTTATTGTGAAGAGCAGTGTTGTAGTGGAAGTGACACTCAGCAAGCACTAAGGATGTGGGTAACTGTCTCAGGAGTCTTTGGAACAAATCACATTATGTGTTTTGCATTTTAAATCATAAAAAGTAAATAAACAAAACAGTGCAAGAAGGAACTTTGAGAAGTCCTCAGGGAAGGGTCAACCCTATCTAAGCAGCAGGGTGTTAAAAGAACCTTTTCAGTCTTACATGATAACAACCAGTTACAGGAGCTTACAACTTGTTCAGCGGCCTGATTTGAAGTGAGCCTGATTTGTATTTATTTCAGAATAGCTACCAACACCACTGACACTAAGTGGCACCCTTTGTGACTGCCTCAGAAGAGGAGAGCTAATGAATTGACAAGGCTGATTAAACTCTTCTCCTCCTGCCTAGAGATAATCCTATCAGAGTGGGTTTGTAGCGCAACTCAGACTGCCACTCTTTGACATTATTCTCCTGGGCTGCTAATCCAGCAGGTTTCAGAGCTGTTAAAATAAATTACAATAAGTAAATAAATAAGATCCACAGCTGGGGGTAAAAATTTAAACCAAAGCCAAGGATATCAGAGATCTGTGTTATTCATGCCTCTTAAATGCAAACCAATCCTAAAACAGGTTTTCATCTTCTGCTCTTGAAACTGAATTCCAGTCTGCTGCATGTGGTTTTGTCAAATGCCAAAGCCACACGGTCCTCAAAGACATATAAAACCCAAAAGAGGAGGGTGATGTCATTACTTCATTCTGCTTTCCAGACAAAAAGCAAGTTTCTGATTTTTTGTTTGCAAGCTAGTTTATCAGACAGAGAAGTAAGCCTCAACTGTATGCAAAACAAATAAACAAACAAACAAAACACAAGAAAAGCTCCCCAAAAAACAAAAGATAACCCATGTCTTATACGTTAGAAACACAAGATTTTCTGATATCACAAGGCAGTGATATGCGTCTGATAAGGGCAGCTTTTCATGACCAAATACAGCCTACATTGCCCTGTATAGCAAAAACATAGAACCATGACACTGCCTCATACCCGCTGTCCTTCAGGTGAGATGTAGAATCTTGTCTCAATTTAAAGCACTCTTTCTCCTTTTGGGAGTGCCTCTCAGAGGCTCCGCATGATGCGTACATGGGGTATGTCCCAGCTTCCTGTTGCTATGCAGCAGCTTACAACCAGGCTGATCCCGAGGCAGCTGCCACTGTCACTAAAATAATAGCTGAGGACAGTCCATAAAACTGGCTGAAAATGCTCTTAATTTACTTTGGTTTCCTTCTTTCCTTACCACTCTGAGATAGTAACAGTCCTCTGGATGCCCAGCTAGAAGAAAAGGTACCCATGTAAATGGTTGGCATCAGGCAGGTATTCACATCAGAAAGGGAAATGTGTGAGTGTGAGAGAACTGGAACAGAATCATTCCCATTCCTCATGTTCCTTCTGTCTTTTTATCACTTGTTGTGAAGACAGAAATGGTGGAAGCATGGCTGAATGGGAAGTGGGGGCAGCCGAGCTCTACTTCAGGATAGCAAGAGAGATAAATTGTTCCAGACATTCTGTTTTCAGAGGTTAAAGTGGTACTCATTACACTGCCCTGGCACCCTGCTGGAAGCTCAGTTGCTTCCAAAGGGATGAGACAAAAATAACTGTATTGTTCTGCTCTGGAGTATCGCAGACTGAATGTGTAGAGAGAAAGGCATCCCCTGACAAAAGCATGTGCCTGGAGCTTCCTAGAGATACCCCATGCCATTTCTCTCCAAGTCGTGAAGGTACGGACAGTAAAGTCCCTAAGTGACACAAGTTATATGAAAGAGGATGTGCAAAGTTGCAAACAAGATAGAATCATAGAAACATAAAGGTGGGAAAAGGTGGGAAAAGGTCTCTAAGATCACCAAATCAAACCATCAACTCATCATCACTATGCCCACCAAAACATGTCCCTCAGTGCCACATCTACCACTGTTCTGTGGTATTTTGACTTCAAGCCAGCATGCAGAGCCAACATGTTTGACATGAGCCAACATGTAACAAATGGGATTTGCCTCCACAGACAAAGGTGAGCATACACCAGTTTTCTGAAGGACCCTTGAAAGCTCTTCCAGTTCCTCTATGCCCATCATTGCTAGGGTTTTAATTTCTTTTTTCTTTTTTTTTCTTTTTTTTTCTTTTTTCTTTTTTTTTTAACTGAAAAGAGATGACACATTCAAAAATTATTCAGCAAAGTCATATTGCTGGGACAAAAGCAGTCTGTATGATTAAAACCACACTGCCATAGTGACCCCGCTGGCTTTATCATATCTGAATATATTTGAGGTCAGGCAGTTGAGATATATTTCAGGACAAGGTATCTTCCTCTGCATATCTGAAGTAGCAGAGAAGATGAAAAGTGCGATACCACATTAGAACAGTTCTGTTTCAGCAAGAGACAAAATTCATGTTCTAACAGACTTTTCTTCTCATCTTCATTTTTCTCTATAGCCATGAAACCTGTAGTGTCTACAGGTGCTGCCAGGGAAGGGAGCCATTTCCAACACATGCAGGATTTAGATTTCAAGTTTTCTTCCAAATTCCCCTGGGAGAAAAGATGCTGACAGAGACATCTGAAAATTTAATTGGAGAAGAACTTGAGCTGCTGTTCCCACAGCCTATTTCATTTGTTTTAGCTTTTTCTGTTTTGTTTTAAAGTCCTTTGAACTGGAAAAGCACTTTCTTTTCAGTAAGACCCAGGCTATAACACTTCTCTGAAAATGCCACATTTTGAAAGGCTGACATTTAAAATTCTATCTTAGGAAAGGAGAGAAAAAAAAGTCAGAAAAACAAAGAGATTGTGATTTTGTCTATTTTTCATATGTTTTATCTGTGCCAGGAAAGAGTATGGGCAGAATGAGCCAGAAGACAAAGTAGGAAAGCCAAAATCAAAACATTTCCTTACAACCTGCACCTGATCTACATCAACCCCAGCTCCAGAGAGCCATTTGCATGTGGCTGATTTTCCAAGAGAGGATCTGTTTTGCAACAATTTGATGCATATACATACATCTTGCTAAAAATCTCTCTTTTTACTTTTTTTTTTTTTCTGGCTTCTCCTCAGCATTTTGACAAGTCCAGCACTACATGAGAGGAGTTTCTGAAGCTTTTAGCCCGATTAAGGTAGACACAAAAGCTACTGCGTTATTTCTGCCATCACAGCAAAGCACTTGAATGCAGTCATTGCCGAGCTGTCTTTGGGCATCCTCTCTAGTCTTTACTGGAAGAGGTCTTTAATGCCAGTGCTCTTAGGCACTGAGGAAAAACTTGACAAGATAGCTGTGATATCTGTGCATTCAGTGCCTCATTTTAATCACACTATGCTAGGCAACCACAATTATAATAGTTGGAAAAATAAAAGTACTTTCAGTGGATGGATTTTTTTTTTACCAAGTATTGGGTAAAATATAAAATATTTTGTTTATAACGCATTGCAATATGCACAAAGTTGGGTATATCTGAAGACTGCACATTTGATAAAGCTTTCAGTTCAGCCAAAGACATATGTGTATATTGAAATTCAAGCATATGAGTATTCCTTTTAGCCAGAGAAGAACACCTGGGAATTAAAAACAATTTTTCCCAAGGCCCATCTTAAGCCTTCTTCCTACACACCATGAGATGCTAAACTATAAATTGGAAATTTACTGTTTTCTAAGGGATTTTCTCATTAAATGCCTACAGAATTTCTAAGCATAAACAGAACACTCTCCATTCCCCAAACCAAAATACACACTTTTCCCGTATCTTGCCAAAACAATAGAGGATTCATAAGACACAGATGTTTCCAACAAACTCCATGAAGCTTCCTGCCTGGGGATATGCCAAGAAACTGACTATATACTTCATAACAATATTGTTACATTTTGATTACTTTCACAGAGTCTTGGTATTTCAGTGTATCTGAGGTTGGGGCTCATTCAAACTCATCAGAAACACTCTATCTGAATTTTGCCCAGGAGGTTCTAATCATGAATTTTCCTTATTAACTTACAGTCTTTGTATATAAATTGAAGTATTAAAACAATGAAACACAGTTCAAGGTTTTTAATTTTGTTTCCCATGTTTCAAATTTAATTTTAAAGTCTTCAATTATGCATCAAATTGTGACTCCTTCCTTACAGATGTTGAAAATGAATTTAATTATCCTCTGCAAGAGACAGACACCACTGTTGAACTGTCTTCATGAATTAATGTTTTAGAAATCTGTTTTGTGCTTCCTTGAGAGCAACCTTTTATACACTGTGACATTTTCCTGTCACCATTAGAAAACATCCATCAAACATTTCCATTGCAACAGATTATCTGTACGTGGGATAATTTTTGACTTTGTCTGTTTAAGGCATATACTTATTTTAAAAAGATACTTATGTTCAACTTGGTCAAATACAGAAAATCAAATTTTCTTTTCAAATTCCCACTTATGAAGAGATGCTCTTTAACTTTAATAGCAGAAACTGATTAAAAATGTGTCTTTTATAAGGCTGGGTACATGTACTTCTTTTTCTACACCAACACAGTAAATTGTACTAATTGAATGTTTCGTTATGACTGCCAGTTCTGCCAACACAATTCATCTA